TTATTTTGTCTCACTTTTTTTTCACTTTTTTTACAATCAATAAACTTCAATTTATATTTTAATTTTTAAAACATGAGTTGCTGGCTCTTCAACATGATTGTTTACAAAAAACAGTACGAAAAAAATGGCATGCGCACACAAAAAATGTGATGAAAAGGCCTATTCCATCCACTGTCCATTAGGTGGGCCTCAACCTGCTGCTGGGCACAGATTGGCATCTGATTTTTTTTTTTGTCGAAAGTCAGCCTTCAGGTGCTTTTACTTTCTTGTCTGTTGTGTTCGTTGGTACCTGGCTTTACTGGGGGTCCCCTTACGGATGTTACCATTTACTTGGGTTGCTGCCATTACCTGTGCTGTCCCGCCTGCCTTTCTCATTATACCTGAATTATCACGTGCTAGGTTTCGCTTTTGGGGTTTACTGTCTGTTTTGATTTTGTATAGTGATGAGATGGATCTCCATGTTGCTGGTAATCTTTACGCCTCTCTGATTGTTCGAGAGTAGAAGTTTTCATTACTCACTAGTTTTTTTGTCCTCTCGAAACTGATGTTGTTTTCTATCGCCAATACGTGTTGGAAGAGAGAAGGCGGAATTACAAATTCAAATTCGTAGTTACTAGATAAAATCGATGAGTATAGAAGAGTGTAGTGCGAATGAACAAATATAATGGTATATTTTTCAAACTCTACAAATTATATATGATTCATCAAGTTTATTAATGCAAAGTCGAGTTTTGAACAGGTATAATCTCTACCCTACCTACCTGAGATTTTACCTTCACCTACTTATAGTAGAAGGATCTAAGTCTGAATAATACTATTAATCACTGTTCTCAATGAAGGTCAGAAAAATGTTTATATAAAATGATTTGATATAGCCCCAAACAAAAAATCGAAGAATCAAATGCGGTGAACGAATGGGCCATTCCAACGGAACATGCTTACCAATTCACAAGCCTATTATGTATGATCTAACCAATCCTTCGCAGGCCTAAAAAATGTGGGGGCACACCATCTTATTGGAAAACAACTAGATTTTCGAATTCATTAATATTCCTGCCGAGACATTTCCTCAGCAGCAGCTGGAACTGGTCAACAGAAGAGGTCCAACCCTGCTCCACGACAACGCTCGTCCGCACGTTTTACAAATTACTCCCCAGACGTCTCTCCAACTGATTTCCATATTTTCAAGCACTTCAAGCACTCAACGGTAGAACCTTCGCCATTCAGGAGCAGGCAAGAACGGCACGGAGGAATCCTCCCCCCCTGCTTTTTCGACTTGGGAAAAAGTTGGGAAAAGTTGGGAAATTTTGGGCCATGAAGATAGAAAAAAATAATAGTAAAAAAATGAATAAAAACTAATTGCACTCAATTTGTGCCTAGCTCAAAATGAAATATTATTTGATCAGCTGCCAAATAAAGTTTATTTTGTCATTTGATTTTTCCATCGCTGAACAAATCTTATTACTGAATTACTTTTATGTATTTCCATATGAATCAGATACATTTCAGATAGAAATCAAGTTTACATGATGTTAAATAATGTGGGAAAAATGTGATTTAGAGTTTTGTACAAAAGAGACACCCGTCATCATGTTAGAAAATATCTCGTGAAAAATTTAATTATAACTAATGAAGAAAAGATAATTGGATTTTTCTATGTTTCTTCTCTTTTCTTCATTTTTCATTATGATTTTATACCACGTAGTAACGGCTGAATCCATCAATTTATTGTAATTATAACTTCCGAACCACTTAGTATAAATTCATATTTAAGACATTTTTTTCTAAAATTTGAATATAGTAAAAACATACATGATTTCTTAAAAACAATACTTTCACACGTCACATATTCATTGGACTAATTGCTAGTCATTTTTTGGATTACTTTCATTGTGTACACTCGTTCATCATTGGTACATTTTGAATAGTTTGTGATAAATGAACGTTTCTACCATTTTTAATTACCGTTCAAAAAAATGTCGCTGAAACTAGATGTGTTTTTATAATATTTACCTCGTAATTTACTCAATCCACCTATTGCTGGCTCTTCTCGACATCCGTTTTACTAATCAAATTGTCGTCATTAGGAGATGACTTTCTATCAATAGTAGATTAATTTTGAGATGTTAACAATACCACTTCATATTTTACCTCACCAGAAAAATTCATTAAAATAGCTCTGTTACCATTTTTCTTTGACAGAAATTTGAAAGCATGATGGTTGGGTTTGAAATAAAAGTTGAAGATACTAAAACACTAAGTTGGCCTCAATTAATGTTATAAAATATTCATAGAAGGAAGGCATCACCTAAGTCTTGAAACGTGAATAACTTACACATGACACTTTTAGTTCATAAAGATTATAAAGTGAACAATTAAATTATAATTTTTAATGTAGGTATATGTAAATACAAGGCATTCAAAAAACACTTCATTGTGAGAATTTTAGTAAACAGTTTTACAAAAACACAAAACGTGTCTATATTTTTGGTAAATATGGATTTTCAAGTATCGGCTGATTTCATCAAATAAATATGAGGTATTTTAAAAATATTTTTCGGACACTTAGGTATTTCTTCTATCACAATATTGAAAAATACTTTCCACCGTGAATTGGTGAAGAGAGAGAGTCAAACGAAAGTCAAAACTATCTTGATTTAGCTCAACGTTTCAGTTCTTTATTAGAACATATTCATGGATACTTAGACCGTATTGGCTTTTGTGAAAAAAATAATAATTTTGAACATTGGATAGGTCTCAACTGTATACATTTGTTAACAATGGGATGACTATGGAAGACAACAAATTTATACACCGATATACATACAGATAAGAGCTATTTAATCTACAAACTTGTTAAGTTTTTGATAAACGCCAAAACGATCTATATAGTAGTACCCATGAATGTGGGCCCTCTATACACTAATGCCTACATTGTTGAAAATTGAATATTAGGTCATAGAAATAGCTGAACATTAAAAAACATGTATACGCCTCTGTTTCAATAGTTACATATGAAACTCACCTCTCATGACTTTTTGTAATAATAGATGGTATCAAGTAAAAAAATGTTGTCAGTTGTCAACATATCTATAAGATGTAACGTCGTTTGTGCAAAACCCTTTCAATTTTTCTATGAACACCTCAATAGTAATAAGAGTTTCTGATAAGACCTGTTCATTGGTCATTGATATCACTGCGTACAAAGATAGAAAAAAATGTATAAACAATTTACTAGAATTGATGTATTTGCTGTACTGTATTAACTGTTCTTCAGACTTATACATTTTTCTTCACGAATATTATTATTTTTCAGAGAAATAGATGGCAACTTAAATGAGCGATTCACCTCGATGTTATAACAATGTACAAAACAATAAATTCGAATTTCAAATAGGGATTACTCGTCCCATCGCGGTATACATCATTGTGAATAGGATATTTGAAGATATAAATATGATTACAGTCCAACTAGTTATAAAAACAATTCGTGGAAAACAGTATGATACAACATTGGTAATGTATTATACTACATAAACAATAAGCCAGTTATTTCACTTCACATTAATTCATTACCTTTACAAATTCATATAACATTACAAATGAATGTATCTATTCAAGACTTGTAGGTAAAAATCCAAATCCATTGAATTTTGTGGAGATATCTTAGTTGAAAATTCGTTCTCATCAATCTGTAGATGAGAGTTTCATAATATGAAACAAACCAAAATAGCATCTTTAGAGATACCAATTTAGGTAGTTATTTGAAATTTTAAACACATTTGAAGTCACTGACATTCTACTCACGAAACGCTAAGGCATCTACATTGGTTAGAGAGAGAAGTCTGTTTTTCTTGACATTTCAGTTAGAATATCCAAAAAAAGAATATTTGCAAGCATCATGTATCAATGTAACCTAAAGATTTCTAACAGAGTAAAATTTCTAACTTTAATCAATAAATCCAACTACCTACTTATTGGTCATTGAATCGTTTGTTTCGACCAATTATAGATACCAGCGGTAAAAATCCGATTTATTGAATTTTCAACTAGTCTGAGTAATTAATGTTCCACATCATTTAGTGCACAAGTCACAATAGTTATGCAACACCTGTATACCCAACAGGTGGATACAAACGAACTTCATCAAGCAAGGTCACTTATCGCTTGTGCGGTATACTGTTTTCTCATGGTATTTAAGTACATTTACAACGTTTAAAAAACTTTTCAAACTTAACAAACAACGTCAGCCTTTTACAGTTTTTGTACAATGTCGAATTTTTGCTTGAAATCCATAGCCTCTTTTTTAGGATCAAATTTCTTCTTTGATGCCAGTTTGGCCCTTAGTTCTGCAGCTGTCATACTTAAATTAAGCTGCCCGTTTTCTTGTTCTTTCTTCGAGTGCTCCAGCTCTTTCTCGGAATTCTTGTTAACTTCGGTGGGAATGATACCGTCATCTTCGGGGTCAACAACAAGTAGTTTCGTTTCACCTGTCTGAGATTTTATAAGTTCTACTACTTGTTTGTGCGTTTTGTTGGCAATACTTTCTCCGTTTACTTCCAAGATGCGGTCTCCTTGTCGTAGGCCCGCTGCTTCAGCCGGCGATCCTTCGTCCACTTTTCCGATGTACTGCCCTGGCTTTCCCTTTTCTGCGTGAAGATTGAAGCCGTAACCGTCGAAACTTTCCCATTTTTGAATATGACACAGACGCGCTTTTGGATTCGACATCACTGCGGAGTGAAAACCACTGAATTCTACACGATAGTCAACTTCTAAACATCGCGTAAACTGGCCTACTGTGGTCGAACTGGTCGAAGTCACAAGGTACCCGCGCTTGCTGGTATTCACTAGCCACTGGAAACCGTGCGCTCGGAAGTGGTAAAGCGAGTGAGTCCGATCATCGCGGCCCCCCCAATACTCGATGATCTGTCCTGTCCCCCCTATAACAATCAGTCTGTCTGGTTCGATGGCAAATATGCATTTTTGTACCACATGCTATATATATTATGAAAAGTTTCAGTGTTTTCAATGAAAACAAAGAATGTTAATATTATTGACTATCGCCTTCCCCACTTCAACGACCCTGCGTAAGGAATACCTATTAGGCATGTAGGAAGCTTATCACAATATATTTCAAAGTTATTCCAAGAATTGTCTCCTTAATAGCATTGAAAATTATTATGGATGAAAAAATATTGGTTTGTGTGAGTTCCTAGATTCGAAATTATTGTCTTGTTATATCACTGAAACAGTGGCGGATCTAAGAATGGGACACGTGTGGGTGTTCCTGATACGTATAAATTCAAAACAAGAACTTTTCCCAATTACCAGAAAAACAATACTTTTCTCAACGCGCGTTTAACCAACCAAGTTTTCTTTATCTTCTGAAGACGCCAACTTGATTGTTGAAACGAGCGTTGAGAAGAGAGTTGCATTTCTGGGAAAAGTGCTTGTTTTGGATTTATTCCACGCCGGAGGTTCTAGTTTTCCCTTTTATTTGATACGTAGGTATAATGTAAATTATTTCACTTATTCACTGAGCAAGAGCATTTAATACTTTGATGGAAAAGATATTCAGCTGTTGCTTTCGACTTGAAACTTGGACTAGTGTCTGACCTAAACGTTGTAAAATATTTTTAGTTTTTCAAAAATAGCATTCACAACCTCATGAATGAATGTTTTGCCAACTAGGATACCCATTAATTTCAGTGGTTATGCTTCGAAAATAGTGGATAAATGAATTAGGAAGAGAAAATTTTGAGTCTTCGTAAATTCTCTACTTTTCAGAAAGATGAAAAAACTCAAGATTCATAGTTTTTTCTTAGAAACCAAAATACAACGAAGTCTCAGCTACGTTGTATGTATAAACTTCGTCCTTGCAGTCAACGTTCATACCACTGATGAGGTCTGCCACAGTAGCAGACGAAACGTTTTGTACTTCAGCCTCTATTCGACCACGGCATACCAGCCCGAGTTTTGTTTTCTCTAATCGTGACTCCGGCTGTGATAGCCTTTGCTCTTATAAAATGTATATTTACTTTAACACGCCATTACACTGGTTATTCAATCACTTTTTTGAAATAGGAACCAATTCATGAATGTGATCCCGCGATAATGTTTAAAATTACAGTTAATTGCAATCAGTATTGCCTAAAATTTCTTATGATCTCAATACTTAACTCAATACGAGTAGGTACTTCATGAAACTGCATCATCAGAATTACATTACAGGTTGATTCTAGAAACACCGATTCCGTTGAAGGACTTCGATAAAATCTATATAACTGATTACTAAGCTCCAAGTATCGAGTTTAGAATTAAATGTTCGAATAAGCTCCCATTACAAAAAATTTTAGTACTTTAAATACAATATCTATTGAAAACTCATTTTCCACACCAGAAAAACTATACCGTCTTTCGACGCGCGTTTCGCTAAACCAAGTTAGTTTCTCATATAAAATCAGTTGAAAATATGTAACAGTTACTGGTAAAATTGAAGATATAGAGGTTTTTTTTTTACTCAAAAATTACCTATAGGTAATATAAGTACTAATCTAGTGAAAACACTACCCACACCAAAGCTATAGTACTGTCTCTAAACGCGCGTTTCGCTAACCAAGTTAGTCTCTTCGGGAGATGATAAACCTGAAGTTCCAGATTATGGAAACTTCATCTCGAACCCTTAAAATGTTGATTTCTAATTTCTCTCAGTTCTGACAGAGATCCATACTTGAGCGACATCCCCTTTCACATTTACTCGTACTTGCTCTATTGGATTCAATTCTCAATGATAAGAAGAATATCGCTCTCCTCTTATATCCCGCAATCCTGCGAGGTCATTGAATACATATTTTTTTAATTCATGTTCATGTATATTGGATAAATCTAAAAGTTATTTTGAACGTATGTTTCGTGAACGCAATCATCCTAATATTTAGTTTTTACGCTAACTACTTTGCAGTTTCCCTTGTAACCGAACATTTTACCTTGCATTGTCGATTGCAATTGAAATCAAAACTACCATTTACGAGAACCATTTCTCAAAGACATCAGTAGTCATTTTAGACTCCACTTCGTTTTGAAACAAAAGTCAAGAGGCCATCTTCAACAAATCATTTACAGCTCCCTGTATGCGTGTATGTGTGATAATAAGGTGACCCTGCTCTTTTCCTAAGGGTGCACTAAAACCAGTTGACCATTCTTCCCGACTATTTGCGTTGTAATAAAATAGATTTTCTGCCTCTTTTTTATTTTAAGGTTTTCCAAACTTTGCTTCGACTTGTTTTAGGAAAATCTGTATCTTCTTGTCTAATTGTATACATTTTGTTCACTGTTGGTATTTCTTTTTCAGAGAGAACATGTGCTTTGTTTGTATCCGATGTTGGTTGGCCTAGAAGATGTCATTGGTTTCATAACCCTTTACTTACACTGAATTTCACAAGCTTTTGTTCAACTTGCTATGTATTTATGTATGTACTAGTTGTTGCCCGCCGCTTTGCCCGCGTAGAATTTGGTTTGTCACATTAAGTTTCGTGACAGACCATTTTGAAAAAATAGTTACTATATTTTCTCATCAACCCAAAACTTCAGGTTTCCAACTTCAAAACTGACAAAATTCAATACAATTTTTGAACCCCTATTTCTTCCACTTGGGGGTGGAAATTAAAATAGTACATTACAATTTAAAATTATTTAAAGGGCTCACCACGTGTATTCCAGGTTCTTGGTTGGCCTTTCCTTGTTACTTATCGCTATTACCACTTTCAAAACGTTGAGCCAAAATTGAACAAATTATAGAACAGAAAATTGATTATTTTGAAAACACATACCACACCAGAACAAAAGTATTGAACAAGTTAGGATCATCAGGAAATTAATAAAACTAGTAATTTTCTGATGATGCTTACTTTGTTAGCGAAAAAAAGTGGATCCTCTATGACAACAGGAGACGTTCAGAACAGTGGATGGATACCGATGAGCCAGCCACCTAAGCACTTTCCAAAGGCGAAAACCCGCCAAAAAAAGACCATGGTTACTGTATGGAGGTCAGCGGCTGGTGTGATTCATTTTAACTTTCTGCAACCGATCCAAACCGCAAAGTCTTATTGTGAGGAAATCTTGTAACCAGAAGAGGTCCCATCCTGCACCAAGACAACGCCAGTTTCATAAATCACCTTCCGAAAATGAAACTCCCCAGACCTCTCGCCAACCGACAACCATCTTTTCAAGCACTTCGATAACTTTTTCATCAGTTGAACCTTCCCCAATCAGGACCAGGCAAAAATAGAGAGATATCGGTAAAATGAATAGCGCCTGTTAACGTTATTAACGGCCTGCGGTAATGGTTTTACGTCAAGGAGTATTTTAATTTTATTTAACACTTATCGGAAGCGATGTGACGTTTTACCGTGCCTTGATCAACCCGCGCTATTCGAAAATGTCACTTAACCTAGCTTTATGGTTTATTGTTATTGTGTCTCGTCCACTGAAATGAAATTATAGTATGATGATGATCATAATGATAATAATGTAATTCCATTTCAATGTTCTTGTCAGTTTTCTTACTAGAAAATATCACTAGAATATCTACAATGGATGAAGATCTTGAAGTGATAATTATTGATGGTGGAAATGATCAAGACATTGAAGCCGTTATCTTGATGAATATTATAAGGGATCAACAAGATGTTGATGCCCAACAACAGCGTTTTAGTTCAGACGAGGGACCAGTTTTTATGTGAAGTGCACAAGAACAAATAACCTTCAACTTTTAAATAAGAAACTCTGTGCAAGCCCAGCAGGTTAATTTATTAGGCGTTATTTCGTCTGTCATTATTCCCCGTAAATTAGGGCTGGCGGTAACGTTATTTGAGGACGTTGCGTTAAGAATCGAATCGCGCATGTGTTAAATGTCAAAATAACATAAGCGCTAATACTGCCTGACGCTATTTGAGTTACCGATATCTCTCTAATGGCTTTCGTCGTCTTCGTCGTAACCAAATTTTATGCTGACTGAATTAATCAACATATGTTACGTTAGCACCGGCGCACTCATTCAAATGACGCTCAATTCGATTGAATTGAAAAAGTATTCACCGAGATATTACAATTCAGTTTATATTTATTCTGTGGCTGTACTATAGACAGTATTTTGTGGATGGTGAATTATATTTACATTTCGATCAATTCTGATAATCATGTGTGTCGTGAATCTATAATTTCCGTGCGTTGATAACTCGTATCCAACCAAGTTAATTAAGAAAATAATTTTTAGTACAAACTGAAACGAATCATTTAAAGGTAAAACTAGAATCTCTGGCATAGAATTAATCCAAAACAAGCAATTTTTCCGATTATAAGAACTGTTACACTCTTCTCGACGCTTGTTTCACCAACCAAGAACGAGAATATTATCAAGCTTTTCCGTGAGATAGATCTTCAATTCTTCATTTGAGACTCGGTTGATAAATGGAACTATTTGACTTTTCAGCTGGGCCACAATTGAAAGCTCTATCGCTGTTTTCAACAAATCGAAAAACCTTTCTCCAATTTGACTCGATGTATTAGATTCCTATAGCGATATTTTTATGAATTTACTTTTTGAGGATAGCGTGTGTGTCATCACTTTAATCAGGAAATGATTATCGTTACAGAATATAAGAAACAATACGAGTGTGTTTATGTGTCTTGTAGATCAACAAGGATGATTACCAAAGAAGTCAGAAACACGGAAATATAATTATCTTGCTGTAAAACAAAATATTGAAAGCAAAGTCAAGTAAAACCTTGGTGTTTCGAAGCCAATGAATGGGTAAATTTATATGACAGGAACTGATACTAAATTATTAGCTTTTATGGGTAAAACAAAACACAGCACGGAAGTTATGGACTGAACCCGGATGCCCAAATACTCTAATTGATTAATAATAATTAATTCCGAATGAATAACAATTACATTTCT